TGTCTACTGTACAGAACAAATCGAGAAATACTGCAGTGACCACTGATTTATATAGGCGTCATCTATTGATTTCAGATGAGGTTATCCTCAAAGATGGAAGATGTCAAAGCATCAATAAATAATACCATAATTCGATTTCTCTCGTGTACATTGAATTCTGTCTCAAATGCCCAAGTGAATTGCAGAGGCTGTTCATCTCACTGGCATTTATTGCCACACGTCAGCAATTTGATCAGCCTAACTAAACATGTCTACACGAGGATAGGCGTATAAACCTGCATTCAGTAAAATAGTACTAACAAAAAATTTGGGATACTTAAACTTGAAACATTATATAATAAATAATTAAATAATCAATGTCAAAGTTGAAATTAGATCAAATGTAAATTCTACAAAACGCGCTCGGTTAACTAAAAAAAATCTATCGCTATGTAAGGGAAATAACTTAATTTATATTAATATATATTAATATAATTTATAGTTTAATATATATAAAATGAATTTATATTAATATAAACTAAATTAACTCCTTGTTGTACCATACCTACGGACGATAATGGGTGTGTCCTCATTCACATAAATACAGTGGCAAATATTTTATGTTGGTCTGCAGTTGAAGATTCGTCTACAGCTGTGTTGGTAAAAATCTCTGCCTTCGGGTAGAGAGGTTCTCTAGACGAGGCTATGTCGAAGGGTAGAGTCTCCTCTCGGGAAACAGCTACCCGATCTCGATTTATACGGGGTCTACGGAAAATGTCTGGCCGAGCCTACGGGCTTGGATACCCACATTAAATTCAGCCTTGTGCTATATCTGACCGCGTGGGTCGGTTGGTAGATATCCTGCAGTTGGAGATTCATTTAAGAATTTACTTGAATCACTTTTAGCAGTTGACTACTTATACGCGCCGCCGGCGAATCTTATATGTGTTGTTCGTGTCCAAATATTATCGTTCATTACCAACCTTCGTGTGGTTATGCTAACCTTCCTTAGGTTACAACATAGCGGTAAATTTTTGAATTAACCGAGCGCGTTCATGCGCACGCCCAACATTCATAAATTTCAATTAGATTAATTCTTTGGCTTAGCAATTCATCACTGAAGATGATCTTGGATGAGATCGAAAGTACTCGAGAAAAAGAAAAGTATAAGAACAGCTCCGGCGTCTTTCTTAATCAGTTTTGTACCAACACTAAGAAAATGACCCGTGAATTTTAGAGGATTAAAATAAATATAGATATACGTCCAGATTATTCAACAAAATGTTTGAATATATATATATATATATATATATATATATATATATATATATATATATATATATATATATTTATATATATATATATATATATATATACAATGAGAGAGGAGTGATATGTGTTGAGATGTTGTGAGTTTCCCGCGTGTCGGTGTATGAATCAAGACAAACACAGTTGTAGAGGAAAATACTGGTATATTCATAAAAGCAATTAACAATAGAGTGATTAGTAGAACGAAGGTTGGTTAGTACGAAACATTATCCAAAGTCTATAGTCCAACGGTATGTACCGGGTAAGCTTATCTGGACTGCTAACGCTGACTCTCTCTCTCTCTGACGCTCTGTCACTCTCTCTCCAGAGCTGACTTATATAAGAGGGACCAGTCCATTACTAGTTAGAAGGTGGGTGCGCCCCAACAATATGATATATGTGATTATATATATATATATATATATATATATATATATATATATATATATATATATATATATATATATCCCTCTGTCTCTATCATCGAATTCTGGTCATTATCTATATTACTATGTTAATTTCATTCTTACTGTTCGTATCTCTCTCTTACTCTCTCTCTCTCTTACTCTTTCTCTCTCTCTATCTATTTATTAAAAGAAATTAGGAACGAAAAAGGCATATAGACATAGAATACACAAGAAACAAAAATATTTCTGGGACACATAAAGAGGAAAGGGTGCTTGGAGAATTTAACGCTCGCCTGACTTATTGAATGCAAAGAGAGACTGAGGGAAACAACGAATAACGTACCTAATATGTTTCCACAAATAAATAGCAGGGAATTGATTGGGAAGTAATTCTTAGCCACTTCCCATCATTGTCGCATGCTGGAGTCGTCAACTCAACCCGATGACATCAATAAGTCACCTACATATACGCATAATTGATGGCTACTTGTTTTTTTTTCCGGTATATAGTCTTGCCGTTCTGATTAATAAACTCGTCACTGTTTAATGTAGTGGTCGGAAAAATAAGCTTAGTTTGATAAACTCAGCAATTTTAATAAATTTCTTTTACTACTAATACTACCGGCAATAACTGATGTCAGTTAACTGGTATATTAGTAGTAGTAACGTGAATAATTAACAACAGAAATCAATATAATCTTGCATTTAGACGACATTAAAAAAAATGAGTCACTAAAACATCGATATGATTCGTTTGTTTTAATAAGGATAACAATTATAAAAAAGACATTTGTTCATAGTTATGCAATTTGTCTGTTACCTGCACAACTTACTATACCTCACCCCGCCTTTTTGCGATCGCATAATAAAACAGCAATCAATTAAATGTGAAACAATTTGTCGAAACAAGTCAACAGTTCTACGAAGCAGGATCTCTGTGATTGAAATTTACAATGCTCACGAATTCTTTAATATTTCATTCATATTTCGTCTGGTTAGATGTCGATTTAATTAACACCAGCATTCGTCGGCTCATATAATATTCGACATTGTGCAGTCGACTTGACAGTTTTGTCAATTGCAATGAGGTTCTAGAAAAAATGTTAGTTGAAATGTTGTCAAGAGCTTTTATCCTCTTTGAGGATTGAAAATAAAAGGACAAGGAAAGAATAAATAAAAGATAGGAAGAAAAATATTTTTCAACAATCATTTATTGGATTGAAGAAAGGCAAGAAAGAAAAGAAATGCTTTATCATCATCTGTTAACGCCTTGGTGATGTTCGAACATTGTAACAGCTACCGGTGCGGTAAGTGGAATAGGAGAACCGAGTTCAAATTCCGGGTTAGTCTGTTTCGTTTACTTTCGCATAAATTCCCTTGAGAAAAACATAAATGAGTCCATCCAGCTATAATCTAAATAGCACGATAGAGAAGGCTGTGTAGCCTTGGATAGTAACCAGTCTGAGAACAAGAAAACTAAATTTCAAAAGTAACGAGAAATCACTCCAATCTCTTTTCCAAGAAGTCATAGCAATTCACAGATAACAAATAAAATAAACCCGTGTATTTTCTTGATAGCTGAACACCCTGAAGGGACATAGCATTAAAATGTTATTTTTGTCTAGAAATTTTTATTATTTATTTTACTAAGTGAGTTTTATTCAGTTAATGATTAAAGTGAATTATTGCGTTTGGGGAACAGCAAGAAATATTTTTACGAGGCCCGTTTAATTCTGTTGTAGTTATGATACAGTGATCTCGTCGTGGTGGTGAAAGCATGGCGTTGACATGAAATTATTCTAGTCAAGGGTGATATGAACGAGAAAGTTGACGGTGGAAGAGTTGAGAATATTGTTCGGCCTTTTCGGCTTGGTGAATGGAATGAAAGATGTGTTGACTGATGATCAGAAAACGACATGTATATCGCGAACAAATGGTCTGTTGTACATCCCCGGCGCAGATACGCCAAAATTCATTCCAGGGGTCGTGCCAGAAATCAAATTGATTTCATCATGGTCAGTAATCGCTTTTGCAACTGGATTCGCAAAGTGAAAACTTTTCCTGATGCGGACTTAAAGATTGACCACAATCCTGTCGTTGCCATGATTAAACTCGACATTAAGAAGATCAGCAACGCAAGAGTCATGGCTAAATTCCTTCCTGAACTATTTATAGCCTCTGAAACCTGATGCATTTTTCAAGAAAATGTCAAAGATCAACCCCGGGAAATCTTGACTCCCTAGATCCTGTCGAGAACTGGAATCGCCTTATGGGAGACATACTGTCAGCAGCAGAGGCGTTTCCCAAAACAAAAGGCAATATGATGTTTCTACTGGATGACAGAAAAAATTAAAGAGCTTATGAAAAGCAGCGAGTTAGCCAAGAACAAAGATGAAGGTCTATAAAATCACTTAAATGAAGAAATATACTGAAGAGAAAGAAAACGGGCTTGAAGCTGAAAATCTCAAAGACTGTATCTCCAAAGAGATGTTCCGCCGTATGAGAGAAAGATCAGGGAAAGGTTTGAATCCTGCACTGAAATGTATCTGATCCTCGAATTGCAAGCTTCTAACAGACCCAAATCGTTGGGATGAATACATTACGGAACTGTTCCATCATGAAAGCCAGAATAACGATATCTACCCTGTGTTGGACTTATCGGGTCCTCCAATTATCAAAGATGAAGTTCGACATGCCCCGAAGAAAATGATGACGGGAAAGTCTGCTGACCTGGTTGAAGTGTTGGACTCCATAGAAGAGGTTGGAGCTGAAAGATTTCATGGCCTCAAGTTAAAGATCTATAAAAGTGGATCACTCGAATGTTTAGACCACCGAACTATAAGCCTCATTAGTCTCGTCTTGTCTTGTCTTGTCTTGTAACGGCATTCACCCGGGGTGGGTTGAGCCAGCTCCAATTGAATTAACCGCATCGCGCGTCAAGGCCATCCACCCCCGTCGACCAGCAGCAGCAGAATCGACGGCATGATCGAGCCATTCGCGATTCCAGCGTCGGACCCCGAAAACGCGAGGACCGGACATGAGTTTCAAATCTGCTTTGACCGTTGCGAGCCACGTCTTGAGTTGACCACCTCGGCGCTTCCTCCAACCAGTGGGTGCGTTTGGCGCCACCAATTTACGTCCAAGCTTCTCAACCTCATCAAGGCCTACTACGCTCACACTCGAACTAGAGTGAGGTGCTACGGGGAAGAATCCGATTCCTTCGTCGTCCGAACGAGCGTCTGCCAAGGATGTGCGCTCTCCCCCATCCTGTTCAACTACATTATTGACTGGATCCTGGAGAATAGCATGGTTGGTCTCGCGGGTGTCAGAGTTGGCCACGACTGCTCCATCACCTATCTGGATTATAACGACGAGGATGCAATACTTAGCGAGTCCTACGCGGAAGTCCAGCATGCACTCGACGAGGTCAGTCGCATGGCCAAAATGGTGGGGATGAAAATTAACGCTTCCAAGACGAAAATTATCACCGTGAACTACCTCCTACCTGACCGAGTGGCTGTAACCCTCGATGGTGAAGCTGTGGCAGAGGTCGAAAGCTTCAAATATCTTGGCACCAATTTAACAGTCACTGGTCAAGCGAAGGACGAAATCACCACCCGTATAAATTTGGCTAGAGCTGCCTTTGTCCGTCTTCGAAAACGACTTTGGTCTCGCCAGGAGATAAGACGATCCAAGAAGTTGTGAATCTACGAAGCCATGGTCAGAACAATTCTTCTCTATGATTGTGAGACCTGGCCACTGCCCAGAGAGGATCTTCATAAGGTCTTCGATCACTACTGCCTCCGCCGTATCCTGCGCGTGCGCCTCTCCGACCGGATCCCCAACTTGTCCATCCGCACCAGATGCAACATTCTGGGCCTAGAAGAAACTCTGCTTAACTGCGGCGGCCTGCTGATGAGTTCGTCCTCATTAGTCATTAAGATTCTAATCAAAATTTTACTGGATAGAATAAGAATCAAGATTCTACAAGAAATCCTAGACACACATTTCTGCTTCGTTCCTGACAGAGGAACAAGGAACAGTCACATTTGTGCTCAGAATAATCAGTGAGCTTAGTATTTAATACCAGCGGGATGTCCATGCTTCATTGATTACAAGAAACTGTTTGACAAAGACGCGCAAACCTCTTTCAGATGTTGGAGACAATCCACAGTAACGATAAAGACAAACGCATACTCGAAGACATCTACAATCAATAAGAAGACTCTGGTCGCCTTTCTAATTGAAAGAAAACAGAACGTGACGTCCAACAAGTTTGCCCAGCCTTCCCTGGTCTTTTAATCTCTATGCGAATTTATTCTTCGTGAGCGGAAAGGGTCCATTGAAAGAATTGCTGTCAGCGGCCGTGTTGCGAATAATATCAGCTACACCGACGATAAAACCCTCCTTGCTGACTCAAAAGAAGTTCTCTAGAAGCTCCTCGGCATAACCAGAGTAGGTAGCTCAAAGCATGGTTTAGAAACTCACCGAAAAAAAAAAAACAACAAACAAACTTATTGTCATCTGAAAAATAGTTCCTTCACCTAAATGCCATCTTGCGATAACCAGGAAAGTGACCAAGTGAACAGTTTCAATTATCTAAGGTTCTTGGTAACAGTAGATAGTCGCTGTGAGAAAGAAAACCGCCGAATTTGCTTAGAAAAATATGGATCAATCGGCTTTGAAACATTTTCACTAACAGAAGTCTTTCGATAAGTCTGAAACTTCGACTCTTAAAAACGTACGTGTGGTCAATTTTACTGTATGGCTTCGAGGCATGAACCCTAAATTGCCTAAGCCAAACGGACACACCAAGTCGCAGAAATATGGTTATACCGGTGATTATTAAAAGTTCCTTGGATTGCGTATGAAACGAACGACACATTTCTTCAGCAAATTCAACAAGAACTCATTTTATTACAAACCATTGAGTGCCAACAGAAAACTTTCTTGTGACAATTATTGTTGTGGATTCCGGGATGAAATCCGATACCAATAAATAACAAACGCCAGTAATGAATATATGAAAATAATGTATTAACGTAATAATACAAACTGGTAAAGCAGGTTACTAGTTCCAGGAATACGTGTTAGTAGCAAGATATATATACAGTCTTTGGTATTAAAGTATCGCTGTATGACTTCTTACTGAGTCTACGTGCTCGCTCACTGTGACTCCTACAACGCTGTTACCTCACCCTCACTCTTCCGGTTACCTACAACCTTTTACTCTGTCACTCTGGACTCGACTCGACCGGTCTTGCTCTCGTCTTACTCTCGGGTCTTCACGTAACAGTAGTATATGTATATACTGGGTGAGTCCATTTGTGTAAAAAGGGGTGGACCCCTCATCAATTATAAAGCAAGAACATGAAAATCTTTGTCTTGGAGGACGTTTTTGTGGTTCAAAAGCCAGGGTAACACGGCAGACCATCTTTGCTCTTCCCCTCAAGATAACATCTGGAACACGGCACAGCATTGGGGACCTCTCTGATTTCGGACCATTCGCCCATGGGTGTGTCACGCACGGCACTTCAGACGACGACAAGTTATGATGTTATAGATAAGAAAAGTTAACGGGTAAACAAAGATTTTTTTTTAATATCTAAACATTGGCATGGTTCTATACACGCTCAACTGAGGTTATGACATTTCTGTAAACGGTGTTTCCAGTTGTAGAATATTCTGGCGAGCATAAATCTGAAATATTTTCAGGAACTTTTAATATTCTGCTCTACAGTAAATAAAACCATTTTATTTTTTTTGCATTGGAATGAATAATATGTCCATTTTTCTGCATTAACCAAAATTATCTATTATCTCTGAAAACAGATATTAAACAAAATGTTAGCGTAACAGGCCGGGTAGAAATTTGAACTTCGAACGCCGATTTCAATGTTGGCGCTAATAACCGTTATGCTACACGCTAAACCATTTTCTTTTCTTCTTCTTCTTCTTCTTCTTCATTATTATTATTTCTTTTTAGCACTTCACTCTTCGACCGCTGGCGAAAACAACGTATAGTCATCAAAAATAAAATAGGGCTTCTGATGGGATTTGAACTCGCATCCCAGACTGCAGGAGCTCGTCTTTCATGTATATCACCTTAACCACTACGTACTCGAGGAACATAATATCATTCTCCTAACCTTTTCCTCTCTACCTCATATTGAGAATGTTATTTTTAGAAACCATTTTCAGATTTTCTGTCTATCTATTACAATCTCTCTGATCTATCTATCTATCTGCTTGTCACTCAGTCCGTTCAATATCTATCTATTACAATCTCTCTGATTGATCTATCTATCTATCTATCTATCTATCTATCTATCTATCTATCTATCTATCTATCTATCTCAATCTGTTCATATCTATCTATCTATTTCATTTTGGCGAAATTTTAGTTTCAGCAGCGAACAGTTATTTCTTTCTTTGCATATATATTCATATATTTTTAATTATTTTCTTCTTTCTGATGTCAAATTTTTAAATTTACAGTTTCTTCTTTCTTCCTGTTTATATATCTATCTCATAGATTTTTCGTTTCTCAGTTCTTTCTTTATCCGTCTTAACGTATCTATCTATCTATCTATCTATCTATCTATCTATCTATCTATGTCAGCCTGCTCATCATGTACCTATATATTTGAACAGTAAAATCCATCAGTTATTTATTTCTCTTTTTTTTTGTTGTTGTTGTTGCAAGCAGCAATAAATACATTTATGCGTATAGAATATTAAAACAAAACGTCCAATAAGATCACGTGAACGGCCGTTACTTGTTTCTATAAATAACGCAGCTTAGCTATTCTCTGCTTCTGCTATTTTTCATTTTTGCCAACGATTTGTCAAAAATACATCAGTCACTTCGACAGAGAGAGACACACACGCAGAAATGCACACACACACACATTCACAAAGTGTAAAGGATTTGGTAGCATATCTAGCCACTCAAATCTGACCAAATCAATCATTAAAAACGCGTATGTTGGGGGAAGCATGCATCAACGTATACTTCACACAGATACATTCCTTCACAGACGCTTTTGTGTGTCTGGAAAAACCCACACATTTAAACAAAATATATAAAATATATGTGTGTATTTGTGGGGGAATTGTGTTCTCTGTATAATAAAGATTATGTTTCACAAAAACAAACGGAAAAACACTCTGTCTCTCTCTATCTCACTTACTATATATATATATATATATATATATATATATATATATATTTATTTAAAAAGGTTATTTTTATATTTAACGTTGTTATTTTATAGATACAAATAAGCAAATATTCTTTTATGATAAACAGTATTAAATAACATTTACCATATGAATGTCTAATTTTCATAGAAAATATTCGTTCTTTGACAGGATTCGAACCTGCATCCTATATAACCGTCATATACGCTGACGTGCCTTACCTCTGGGCTACAAAGAACGAATATTTTCTATGAAAATTTCTCGAACATTCTGATTAAAAATTATTTAATACTGTTTATCATAAACAGTGAAGAAATTTGGAAAAATACTTGTATTATAAATAACAACGTTAAACATAAAAATATGTCTTTAATAAAATAAATTGTCGGACCTTGTCCATTTCTTAATATATATATATATATATATATATATATATATATAAAAACCAAGGTTGTGTTGCATGCCCTAAAAATAAAAAAAATAACAACAATCAGTGTATTTAAGAAGGATAACGCTTTTAAGGCAAGTTTTGTTTGTCTGAAAGTGCTTCATATTAAGAGATTGAGTGTTAATAAAACCTGGTAAAAATAAACACACACACATTTGTGCATGTGTATACGTATAAGTGCAATAATAATAATAGTAATAATAATAATAATGGGGATATCGTAACGATTATCAGGACTGAAAAGGGAATCGGCCAACCGAGTTCAAATTTCTATCTAGTCCGTTGCATTTACTTTCGCACTAATGCCCTTGGAAAAGGTATGAATGCATTCATCCCACACCCCAACCATGGATTCAGAAGCGGATCGGAGTGGTCTATTGAACTTTAGGTGACGGCCAGTCCTGAATTCAAAACTGTGGAGAAGGCAATTAATAACTACCCCATTATCTTTTCCCAGAAGAGCCGACAAATCAATGTCTGTGTGGAGGTCTAAAGGGACATGACATTAAAAATGTGTGAGTAAAAGATGAATTGAAATCATTCAGTCGACCGCATTACAAAAATCAGCAAGTAAGTTGCATTGAAATAATGGGTGACGTGTACTTAATATCCAGTATAACCCATCAATTATGACTGATGCAAAAACACAACGAATGCGAAACAACAACAACAATAATAATGATAATGTTAATAAAAACAACAATCATTATGATAATAATAATAATGGTGATCATAATAATAATAATGATAATAATGTTAATAATAATAATAATAATGTTAATACCTATGTCGTCACTGAAACATTTTACCGTATTGAGGAGACCCTTGAACTTCATAGTTGTCTTTGCCTACGTAGAGTAGGTTATTGAATGCTTTCTTGTTTAGTTTTTATCCATAACTATTATTGTTTCGAGCTGAATTCAAAAAATGATATCATCCATAAGCATCTTGGCTGTCCCTGTGGTGCAATACAGTTTCAACATCTTTAACTGGACCATAACTGACATTAAGCGAATGGACGCCAAATCGAGAAATCTTCTCACCTGCTACCGCATGCATTATCCCAAGGATGATGTTGATCGCTTGTATGTGCCCAGATTTGGAGGAAACAGGGGATTAGTTCACCTAGAACTATCTTACAAAACTACAACAATTGGCCTTCAAAGATAACTCAATCCTTACAAACAAGAAAATTGATGCAAATAGACCCAACATAGTCGTAAAAGATTTAAAAAAATAATCTGCCAAATAAATTATATGACTTGCCCACAGGATTCCAATGTTTCTAAAGAAGAATTTCAAAAACTATCAAATTATCGTAAATCGAAGCAACAAAAATGTGGAAACTTAAAACTACGATTATCCCTGTTGTGATTGGTACAGGATAAAGAAGAGCACAACAAATCATGTGGGTAACATTCCTGGACCCACCAGCATCTAAGAGTTTCAAAAGGTTACTTTATGCGGAAATACACATCTCATCCGCAAAACCCTCTCCATCTAAACGAAACATCCAAAATGTGCATGCATAACACTCCTACTTGTGCCATTTTGACGTATAGACACTTAAAATTACTCCCTGACAAGTTGATGCCACACACAACAACAATAAAAAATAATAATGACGGACCTGGAAATATAAACTGTATGAATGTGGTATTTAAACACAGTCACGATTCCAATAATAATGGGAGCACAGGGAATGATTAAAAAGAATACTGATACACATTAAGAAAATTCCAGGAAACCCATTTTGAGTGACAAAAGACTGTGTTCATGAGCACCGCTTACAAACTTAGAGAAACACTCCTCACGAAATCTGCTCAATATCTTTCGAAGAAAAACATTCCTTTATCTCAGATCACTGATTTGGTAAATGATTGTATCAAGCAACAAATCAGGAAAATCAAAAGCAATAATAATTATGAATACTACTATTATTACTAAAAATGGTAATGATTATTTAAATTTGATTTAAATTTGATACGAGGTGCACAAATGATTATTATTATTATTATTATTATTATTAGTAGTAGTAGTAGTAGTAATAGTAGTAGTAGTAGTAGTATTATCAATAGTTTGCCCATCCCGTCAAAAAAATGACGCCGACACTGAAGTAATTTTTTTTATTGCATTGTACCTTTTTAATAATGAACAATTGATAAATCATTAAGCATGTAAGTGGGGGTTAAGGATAGCGGCTCGGAGTGCTGCAAACCGACAGCTAAGTTAAAATTGCAGTCGTTCCATTCACTTAAGCACAAACCCCATTGGGAAAGGCATGTAACCATCTCTTCCCTTGGTTTAAGTAGTAGTAAAACCCCCCCCCCAAAAAAAACCCCAAAAAACCCCAAAAACAAAAAAAGCAATTGTTATTCTCCCAAAATTGTTAATTCAATATTCACAAAAAAAAAAGAAAAAAGAAATAATTCTTACAATACAAAATATGCATTGACTTTAATGTTTCATAAGTGATTAAATATCCATCAACCAACAAGGATAGTACACTAAATTGTTTATGTTTTGTTCATTAGATTAGTTAGTTTTTCCGACCTATCAACAGTTATTGGGTTAATGTCGAATATTGTATGTATATGGTATACCCACTGAGTTTCTAAGACAGTACTTATGGTTAAATAGATTAAACTCGCTAACAACGCTATCACACGTAGTTCCCGAATATTAAACTAAACAAATATCAGTATGTTCACCATTAAATAATTATAACTTAAGAGATTAGATTTAAAGTAAAGCTGAAACCTTAGGTTTTATTCTTGCTGCACATGACCAATGCTTGCAAACTAGAAAGTACAGAGCTCACATACTGTCATACCTGGACGTACCTATTCTATTATTAATAGACTCTCCCACACATAATAAGTAGTAGTAGTAGTAGCGGTCGCCAGTTGAGCTCAGTGGTGTTCAGTCAGTCAGTCGATGTCGGACATTGAAGTATCAACCATCACTAGATTGCTGCGTCATTAACTCTTATTTCAAGTTCCTAACGTTTTGTACGTCGAACCTAATTTAGGACGACTTATTGAAATACAAGCCTCCACTGTGAAAACTACTCTACAACACATACTGAAAAAGTAACATAAAATTTTATTTACAGTTGGTTAGCATAAGAGTCAAGTAGATGCCTCATTCCTTGTTTCATGTTCAGGAAGGGCTTCCCAGTTCCTTTGTTTTTCTGAGCCTTTAATCGATGTTTCCTGACATGTGGATAGTGGCTACGTTAGAAATTTTCTGGTTGTTGCTTCTCGACTGGTTGTTAGAAGCCCGAACTTTTGTGCAGCGTCTAGAGATGCTGCTTTGATCAACACTCTCATAATATCGGGATTCTTGCAGTGCCATGTCGCGAATGAAAGGGTCTCCCTGAAAGCATCCTCTGAGGCCACACTATGTTGCCGTCTGCGCCAATTCCAATTTTGCACATGTTATCTTAGACGACCAAGAGCTACTACTATTCTCGGTCTTTTCCTATCCTAAATAACAAATTATGACGATAAGCAACCAACAGAATAAAACCAAACCAGCTCGATAAAAAGGACCTAAATTCACCAACCCTTCTCGTGGTATTCGTACCAACTTCTGCAGAATGGTATCGTTTCTCCGGATATTCTAGCTGTGCGAAACTAATCTTAATTCTTCAGTCCTCTCTGAATTCTCTATTTCTTGCTATCTTCCTCTCATTAGGAGGGACTCTTGTGTCCACATGCATAGCCTGGGAGTTTATGTTCAGGAACATCTCCCGCTGGTTAGGGAACTTTTACTTGGATATCCATACCATTCTTACATGTGCCTCCGTCTTCCTCTACTAAACTCAGTGAGCTATATCTTCCTATTTCACCGTTCGTTTTCCTCTCGTGACTGTTGTGTGCTAGATAGTATTTCTGATAATATAGATAAGGCCATCTCTCTACAGCTGTTTGCAAATATCTTTGTGTTCAGTGACTTCAGTGCCCACTATGGCAGGTGGCTTAATTACACTGACACTGATCTC